GTGTGTGTGTGTGTGTGTGTGTGTGTGTGTGTGTGTGTGTGTGTGTGTGTGAAAAACATTTCTGATTGTATTACTATTCGAACATGCTATACTTTACCCATTCCCTCACAGCCTTAATAGATTTCTTAATGATAGATACCAAATAAACAGGAAACCTGTGTAAAAGTACATAATTAATGGAGTGTGCATTCATCAAAATATTTTAAAATATTGGTTAGAGCTCCATGTAAAAAGTAACACACAAGAAGCCATTTGCAGTGTACACCAAGTTTTATTGATCCTACAGAACTCAGGAACTATCCTATGTATTCTTGAGTACCAGCTAATGGCATTTTATCTATTAACTATTTATGTATATTACACATGAAAACGCTATATTAAAAGAACATTAGTAAGATTGCAAAGTCACAAACTCAAAAGTTAGGAAATGGCAGAAATTAAGTTGCTGGGGAAACCTTAATTGGGCTTTCTTGTGTGTATGCATTATGACACAGTCTTTAATTATGTGATCACATATTTTTTTCATAAGACCCTGCCTCATTTGGTGCACAGGAGAGACAATGCTCATTTAATGAACAACTATTAAATACTTTATTTTCTCCTCATTGTTCAGTGTGTAGCTCCTGGCCTTATTTACTGCACACTTTTCAAATCCTTCTCTGAAAAAAGAATTATTAATTTCCTTCATAGGGTTTTCTATGGTGATCATCATTATAGTATCTGAGCACTTCACAAACAATGGATTTACTTGCACAACACCGCTGTGAGATGAGGGGATATTATTAATCCATTTTACTGCTGGGGAACTGAGGCACAGTGAGATTAATAATAAAAATATCCACTAATTTTTGGTGCCGAATTTGAGACACGTAGGCCCTGATTTTTCAGAGTACATAGCATTTATATAGCACTCAGTATGTTCAAAGCATAGCTCCCATTGACTTCAGTTGCATCTGTGAGTCCTTAGCCCTTCTGCTAATCAGACCCTAGAGACTCATGTTGGGCACCAAGAAAATGAGGAACACACAATTAGTGACAACCTGTGAAAAGTTTGGGTTAAATGACTTACTTAGCATTACATAGGAACTATATGACAGAGTCAGAGATAGACTCCAATTCTCTAGAGTAGAACACAACTGCCTTGATAGGGTTGACAATCCTCCAGGATTGTCCTGGAGTCTCCAGGAATTAAAGATTAATCTTTAATTAAAGATTATGTCATCTAGGAATACATTCAACCAAAATTGGCAACCCTACTTGACTATGACGTCATCCTTTTTCTTTCTGAAGTCCACTGACTAACTCACTACCGACTTTCCAACTTCTGAAACAAATGAGGTGGGGTCCTCAAGACAACAGCCTCTTTCAATATACTATTATGATTCAGCCCCAGAATAGGGTAGAAAAAATAGTGTGTGATCATGTCATTAAAGATCATGTAATCATACATCGTAATGCATATGCACAAAGGGGCCAAGTTGAGGTTGCATAGACAACTTTACTTCTGATATTTCCTATCTTTTGAGTGCTTGACTTTGCAATCTTAATAATGTAGTTTTAAGGCAATTTTAAAAAAAAGTAAACTGAAAAAACAAATTCCATCATGTGGCATCATATTGACATGTACATGGATCATTAGCAGGGTTTAGATCCACTGCACAGATCTCTGCCTCTTGAGTTAATGGCGTGAACAGTAGCAGTAGGGAGTTGTCCTTCTCTAATTGGCCCAGCAGTAGAAAGGGCTGGTATACCTTGCCAGTAGGTTTACATCTATTTCTTGACATCAGAGGAAGGGTGAGATTCAAGAATCTTGGGTTCCATTTCAGACTTTGGAGGAGAGTGTGCTTTAGTGGACACAGACTCTTCTGCCCATTCCTCCCAAGTATTGATTAGCACCTTCTGCTCCTTCTCTCCAACCTGTCTGTGTCCCAGTTCTGTCTCTACCGTACTAGCAACTCCTCATTGCAATCCCATTCTCCTCACCTAGCCAGTCCCAATCTTCACTCCTGAGGCTTTTGAGCTCAGTCCCAGTCTCCTTGCCCAGCAGGTCCTAGTCTCACTCCTCTGGATTCCCCACCTCAGTCTGCTTCCTCCAGTCTCAGTCTCCCCCTTTGCTCCTACTCCCAGCCTCCTTGCCCAGCCATTCCCGATCCCTCCCACACTCCACCTCTATTCCTTGTTCCCAGTTTCCTTGCCCAGCCAGTCCCAGTTCCCTCCACCCCCAATCTCTCTGTTTCTCTCCCCACCTAGTCTCCAGTTACCCCATCCCAGTGTCACAATAAAATTGCTCCCCCATGGGGTCCCCTGGGTAAGCACCAGCATTGTATATTGCTAATGCTTTGAGATGCACTGGAAAGGATTTCAGGAAGGGTTAAAGGTGTGAGTGTGGAGTGAAAAATTCCTTTGCAGGTTGCAAGAGGCTGAAGGGGGAGGAAGGGAGAAGGGAACGGGTTAACTCAATGCTCCAGCTAGGTCCAAAGATAAGAAGCTGACTCCAGCCTCCCAAGGCCAATGCACACAAACAGAGTCTCTGATGCCAAAAAGCCAAAAGCTCGTATCTCAACCCCAACCAGCCATAAAAAAAATAAAAAATTAAGCTGAACCAAACCACAGGAGCTGCAAAGCTAGTAAAACTGAAAAAGTCAGCAAGTCTCATGTCCCTGAAGCCGGTGTGTTTTGGGAAAGTTGAGGAAGCCATGAAAAGCCGATTGGGACTGGTACAAAAAGCACGGGGGACTGGGGTCCCGGGACAAAACGCCCCCCAAAAAACCCAGGGCCTAAAGCCCTCCCAAAAGCTAAAGCAAGTTGAAAATCAACAGCAGACCTGGAATGGCCTGTGCACAGAACAGAACTCTCGTCCACCCTTTCCCCTCTTCTTCTTACGTTACAGCCGGGCTTGGCCAGCATTGGGTTGTGCGTGTGTGAGTATGAAAGCAGGTGAGGGCTTGGGCACTAACGCTTTCTTCCTTCCTTTGAAAGTGACGTGGGAAGAACCCAGCACTCACCACTGTTATTTAATTAATAAAGCTTTAAAATTAGTCGCTTGGTGTGCTCCTTCATCTCCTCCCCTAACAATCCTGCAGCCTCAGCCTGATCACCTGACGCCCCAGGCAGATTGGTAACAAAAATCTGTCACACCAGCCCATATTCCTTGTCTCTACTGGCTCTCAGTCCCAGTCTCACATTCTGGGCTTCTCATCCAGTCTCAGAGTTCTTGCCGCCTGTGTTCCTTTGCTCAGTCAGGCCCAGTTGTCCCCCCTGCAACTGGCCGCCTCCTCATATCTATCACTCCTTCTCTCCTCCCCACCCCCATTCCCAGTCTTAAACACCCTGCCCTGCTAGTCCCAGTCTCCCTCCCTGGCTCCTCTTCTGAACTCAGTCTCTCCTGTAACAATGCCTCCCTATTTCCTTGTCTCTTTGACCAGACAGCACCAGTCTGTTTCCCTCTTTCCCTTCCCTGCCAGCCTCCAATCCCAGCCTCCCCCTCACCCCCCCCCCCCCCCCGCCCCTAGGCTCAACATCACAATCTACTCCACCAGCCCTCCTGCATGACCCCCGGCCCCAGCTCCAGTTATTGTCCCTCTGCCAGAGGCACCGACTCCTGAGTTCCTGGTGAGTGCTCGACCCCTGCTCCACCCCAGTCCCTGCCCCCACTCCACTCTTTCCTCCAAGTACCCACCCCACCTCTTCCTGGCCCCACTCTGCCCTTGCCCCACCTCTTCCTGCCCCCTCCCCTTCCTGCTCCTGCCCTCCCTCCCCCCCCCCAGTATCTCCTGCATGCTGCTGAACAGATGATCACAGAGGGTGGGAGGCACTGGGAGGGAGGGGGAAGAGTTGATCGGCAGGGCCCACTGGCGGGTGGGAGAGCTGGGGGGAGGAGGAGGAACTGATCCGTGGGGCTGACGATGGGTGCTGAGCGCCCACTATTGGAGCACCCACGGAGTCGGCACCCATGCCTTCTGCATTCAAGTCAGGTGGCTTCCTCCTCCAGTGTGCCTGAGCACCAACAGGGTGGTCACTGAGAGCACAGGAG